TCCCATAATTGCTCTCAGCCTGCCCGTGATTACACCTGAAACTAGGAGAGCTTGTGTGGTATCTGGAGTTTCGCCTTCTAGAAAGAGAGGACGCATGTGCTCAGTGTAGAAAATATTCTTGACTTTTAGTTTTTGTGCAGCATGCTGCAGAACTATACGGAAGAGTAAAAAAGGGTGGGTTTTGGTAAAACTTTAGCTTTAAAATGATAGGAGTGAAAGGCAATAGTTGCTATGTCCAAAATAGAACAAACCTGTATAACTGGTTTTTGAATCTCTCATTCCTCTGCGAGGCAGAAAGAGGCTATTCATTGTGAGCTGTGGGCGGCTCCAAAATCTTTAGTCAACAACTGAGAAGGAAGTTCACAGATACTAAAGGAATGAGAACAGAGCTTTTCTAACTCCATGTGCTTCTGGAACCAACAGTTATGTTATCCAGGCATAACATATTTTATAGCTAGTTAGTTTAACACCTCAGCCACAAAGCTATTCTGTTGGAGCAAATCCTTATTCCCATGCAGAGCCCAATTACACAGTCTCTGCATAGGGGTTTTCGTCATGAATCATGGAGGACATAATTCACCTACCTTTTTTGTAATGTGTGTGTGTGTTATATTGGCATGTGGGATCCCTGTCTGAGAGCAAAGCCTCCTGTACTAGGAGGCTATAGTTCTTGCCTCAAAAAACTAAAATAGAAAAGATGTGTAATAGGGCGAGAAAGACGGACACTGTCTGAGATATTGAATATACCTCCCCCCAGAGGGAGGAGATGGCAGATGTGGGTTTGACAGGTAGAAGAAGACTGGTCTCCTACCTCCTGAATGAGTGCAGTCACTGCTGTATTATTGAGAAGAAGTGGTAGTGGAAGCACCTCATCTTGCTTCTTGTTCTTGTGAACAGTGTTTCAGTCCTTCATTATTTTGCTTTAATGATAAATTCCTAAAATGGAAATAAGTTTGTTTTGTTTTGACAAGAAAAAAACTAAAAATACATATTTTGGTTATGGGATTCTTTTTCCAATTTTTGGTTCAGTGACCACACAGAAACGTCAATTACCCTTGCAACCCTCTGTCCCAAACCAGGCAACACAGGAAGTCTCTGGCATAATCTGTTATGTGTTGAGCTTAGCCTTTCCTTTATTTGACCACTCTGAATCAGTAGAATGGAATTTCTGTTGCCACCAGGCCTCTTCCTTTTACCTGATCAAGGATTTTAGCTGGTAACAGAGATCCATTAGCCATGCCCCTCCATCAAATGTCCTCCATCAACTGTTACAGAGTCACAATGCACAGAAGCCATGGGTATTCTGCCCATGTTCACTCAGCAGAACTTCATTAATTCCACTATATTCAGAGATTACTGAAATGGTTTAAAAAGGTTGGCAAACTCCCTCATTTAAGATTAAAGTATCTCCGTTCACCAGTGAGCAATTTTCCTGTGTCTCAGTGAGACAATTTAAAGTTTAATTTCTTTTTTTAATCAGATTCTCTCTGATTGTTACTTTGAGACATAGACATAAAAAGAAAAGGAATCGGTCTTTACTACACATATCACAATAGAGGTATCTTTGTCCTAAAACAGTGGGGGCCAACCTTTCTTGGCTGGTGTGCCACAAATTAACCCCACAACTTTCCTGAGTACCACTCCCTTCCTTTCCCTTATCTGCTCAGCTTTCTGCTTCCTGCCCTGTGCCCCCTGCCTGATCTGATGCTCTGCTTTCTGCTCCCTGCCCAGTCTGCCACTCTGCTACTTATCCCTTCCCCAGTCTGCTGTATAACACACAGAAGCTTCCTGTGTCAAATGTGACACCCTTGCACAGATTGGCCATCTCTGTCCTAAAGAATCTTTCAGTTCTTCAAAATATTAAAAAAAAATCCTACTAAATCCAAGATAGTTTTTTTTCTGTATAAGAAAGGATGTTCGGTTTAAACCCTAAATTGTCTTTCCAGAAAAACAAATCAAATTATTTAATCAAACTAGTATATCTATTTTTCAGTGAGTTAATAAATCCATCAAAATATATGAGAGCTGTAAATATCCAAACATACTGTAGCCCATGGTGTTAGGATTGATCTTAAATCTTGAAATTAAGCTGCAAAGAGAGAACGGAGGGGAAAAAAGCATGCACATCACTTCAGTTCTACTTACAGCCTCAAAACAGGATGTAAGTACTGTATAGGCTTTGTCTGGGCCCTCTGCACAGCAGTGAATGATTATTAGGTATGTACATATTTTTATCAATCTATTACAATGTCTGAATGGGCTCGTGTTTTTATATTATTGTGTGATGGATGTTTACATTGCAGATGTCTCCGGTAGGTGTTTCAAAAGATTCCATATTCTTTGTACCTTTCTAAAAATAGATGTGACCAGTCAGCTCTTGTTTCCAGACATCACTGAAATCTATGCTCTCCCCAAACTATTTTTTTATTTTGAAAACCAGTCGATGAGACTCTCGTAGTTTTCCACGGTTTGACTCATTTTCTAAACAAAACCTTCCGTAAAGATGATTTTGGTTGTTAGCCCTAAGGAATGCTAAGTATTATGTAGGTAGCTAATAAGCTATTTTCTGTGTTTAATTAACCACAGGGTTTGTGTACATGGGGAAACCCACATGTACACGCAGACAAAAGCAATAGCAGATGTTCACCGATTCATTTGGCAGTGTATTTTTTCATAGTTTTGTTTGCTTCACTGCAGCTCAATTCAGTTCTCAGATAGGCTTATATAGTGCAATCACAGAGTTGCAGGGTGGATGTTTCAGGACAAAACTGGAATCTGTGGGCTTAATTCCAGCTCGCATAGCCTGAAAGTTGGGACCAAGCACATTTAACACCTAAGTGACAAGAACTGAACACTCAGCTCCCAGTTAGTTTTCTCCCCTTTATTTGGGAAAGCTGACAGCTGTAGAAAAAGTAGAATGCAGTATTCTGCAATACCTATTCAGCAAAAGCTGTCTATGGGGACACTAGCTTCCAGAATAAAAGTAGCTGTATTCTGGAATAATTGTGCCACTTTGGAAGCTCATCAATGCCACAAAGCCACATCCTCTGCCTTGCGTAGCCATGCCAGCCCCCAGAAGCTACCCCTGCCTTCTGCCAATCACACATGTGCAGTGGCAGCCGTGTTTTTAATTACGGTATAGGCAATTGTTGTTTTTTTTCTTTAGACTACTTTAGAGCTAACAATAGAAGGCCAAAGAGATGCTTGGTTATGTCTGGAAACCTACCCCACCAACTTCAAGTGGTTTGTAACTAAAGGGAGAATACATTTTAGACAAGAGCTCATCTTTGTTATGATTCCCATCAGATGAGCACTAAAGAGTGGGAACTACTGTAGATTTTAGTTTTCTAACTTACTCAGCTGTTCCTAGCATTTATCTTTAGCTGTAAAATAAACAAATAAAAACATGTTCCCTCCAGCCAAGCATGACTTTAACAAAGTGTCTCAGCAAGCTCAAAGTCAGATAATGGTTAGCTATGCAGCAATTTCCATGAAAAATATTTGTGGCCATTATGCCACTGCTTATTCATGCATATATAGGCAAAAACAGTAAGCACTGTAACTGCAGATATTTACCATGGATAAAGTATGTTTCTCTCATACAGTCCAAAACAGATTTCTTCTCTCCTCAACTTGCAAAAAAATCCCTAAAAAAAAGCCTATGGCAGAAAATATTTTGTGCACAGCCATGTTTTATTCATATATACTGAAGATGACTGCCAGTAAAATAATATTTAGTAACCAAAACAGGTGAAGTGTTGAAAATCAGCCTTATGCCAGGTCTGTGCTAGAACATCTTTACCAATATAGCTTTTTTGGCAAAAGAGTACTTTTGCCAGTATTACTTATTGTAAATACCCAAGCTAAATCTGCACCAACAAAAACACTTTTTTGCCAGTACTCTTTCTACTCTAGGAGCTTTTGCCAGTTTCAAAACTTTGCCAAAAATCACATTCTTAAATGATATTATTATACTGGTAAAAGCTTCCATATTGACTTAGCAATAGATAAACTCTACCCAGCCAGGCAAAACTACCTTTCCTGATGAACAGTATGTATGACCTATAAGAAACCACTTTACTTCATGGGTAGAAATGTCTCAGAAAAAATAGTCTGCAGGATGAGCTGTTAAACTTTAGAAAGGCAGCTGTCAAAAATTGTTATACTTGCATTTTACATACATGCCCCTGAATATAATATACAGCTTGTTTGTGAAAGGCAAAATGAAGACAAAAAAAATATTTTTCCAGAGTTATGATTATATATAGAGCATGAGCAGAACTGTCCATAAAAACATGCCCATAATGTAACATAAGAAGTACCATACTAGATCAGAATAATGGCGCATCTTGTCTCTGACTGCGAGAGAAGTGGACGCTATACAGGTAGAGCATCGAACTGGTTATCTTTAGAGTGATCTATCCCCTATTCATTACTCTCCCTGTTATCCACCATTTAGTGGGTTAGAGTGCCAGAGAAACCATTTCCAACTGTTCTGTTCAATAGCCATTAATAGATGCATCATCCATGAATTTATCCAGTCCTTTTTTTAACCTGGCTATAGTATCTGCCTCCACCACTTCCTGTGGCAATAAATTCCACAAGTTAACTACATGTTGTGCAAAAAATAAATAAATAAATAGAATAAAAATCTCTCTTGTTAGTGTTAAACTAATTTTTGACTAATTTCAGTGCATGCCTCTCTAGTTCTCAGTTCACATGATCCATGCCCTTCATGATTTTATAGGCCTCTGTCATATCCTCCCTCAACCTTCTCCTTTCCAAACTCAAGAGTTCTAGCCTTTTTAATCTTTCCTGCTATGACAGCTGCTTCAGGCCTCTAATCATTGTGGTTGCCCT